ATAAAAGTGAAGATTGTGAGACAAAATGGAAAATTTATTAACAATGTGTTTTGCCAGTGTCTGATATCTTTGGCTTACTCAGGTTGAATAATAATAAAAAGAAAGGACAAAACTATGTGTGGAAAAATGCCTTGGGATATCTGAGGATAAGTGGGGAATCATAAATCAAATTAAATTACATTACCTTATCACCTCTAATGTCCAGACTCAAGAGAGTGTCTGTCTGCCTGTTTGTTTTATCTATATTAAACCCATTTGGTGGTGTTGGATTTTAAATCAGTCCACCAAAACTAGAGAGTATATATATATATATATATATATATATATATATATATATATATATATTTGTGTATACACACACACACACACAAAAGCATATTAGAGACATTTTTTTGTAAACTTTTACATGTGTTCAATTTCTTTTTTAACAAGATGGATTTTGTGTGTTTTACCATCATTTGTTTTGTGGCCACAAAAATGGCAGGTATGCAGAAATTATATATATATATATATATAAGGATGGGGGTATCTTGACACTACATTCACCTTTCTAAATTGTATACAGAGAAGGCTAGATTTGAATTCAAGTTTGAAATATAGCATTCACTATAAGTCAATGACCGAATGAGGTTCTGAAAAAATATATACAATATATTTTTGAAAATATTTCATTTCAGGACCACAAAATATTGTATAAATAAAATCATACCAAAGTCAGTCATCTTAATGGTAGATTTCTTTTTGTGATCAGAACATGGTTAAAAAAAAAAAAAAAAAAAAAAAAAAGTGTAAGCCACTTACTTTTCATGGGTTTGTTCAAAACAGATTTTATCAGAAATCCTTGCTAACAATTTAATCAAGATGTATTTAGAGATTCTTGCTAAAATCCAAAGAAGAATCTGCAATGTTATTGGTCCTGACCTGGCATCTTGGCTTCTCAAATTTCTCAATGCTATTAAGGAGCTTGCCTATGTCTTTTCTATAAATATTTTCATGGTAATTGTTCTAAATGTTCCTCTTTGGTGCCAAAACTTTATGAATTCAAGGACAACACTAGATCTCATCATTTTACAGATTAAATTACTAGAAATGAAAATTCTATGCTAACAGTTTCTTCTCTAGCACTTCTTTCTAGAACTCTTCCAGTTTTATACTTTCTAGTCAACTTTGCTCTTCAAAAATGCAATGCCAAGCATCATCTTTGGTCTTCATGATTTCTATTTATTTCATTGTTCTTTCACCTTAATAATGTTTTTTTTTCATTCTTTCACACTCAGTAACTTCTTGCATCTCAGTGGCTTTATTGTCTTGCTTGGGGTGAAATGATTAAACAGAAAAAAATATCTGTAGAGTATATTTTTGTTCTATATCTTATTCAGGTAAATCTTTGGCTTCTAAGCACTAAAAGAGAAATTCTATGGTGGTTGTAAATCTGGCAAATGTATATGACATTGCCTTTAGAAAAGATTAGTTTTTTTTGTTTTTTTTAGCTGAAAGAAAAAAAGATGTAACATCAAAGAAATTGAAAGCTTTTCTCCAAAAGACAAGAGTCTAATTTGAAAAGGATTTTTCTATGATGCCTGAAAAATGTTTGGAAATCAAGGCCAAAAAGTTGACAAAAGTTTCTGAACCAAGAAACATTATAGTCCAAATATAAATAGTGTAAATAAACATTATTGTTCTTTTAAAATTCCATACAGAGTACAGGGCTCCAGGTTAACTTTTTCTAACTATCATCTTGGAATCATCTTGAAAAAAAAAAAAACAAACAATTGTAATCAGGCCCTCAAAACTTTAACCCAAAATCAATTTTTTTTAACTTTATTATCTTTTCTTCATTTTTTATTCTTTTACTATTGTTCCCCCCAATACAAGACCCAAGAGACCCTCAAGGCGTAAAAGAGAGGAAGCAAGAGTTGCATATTATGATGATATGTAGGATAGATAAGAGTTGACTCTTAATGAGTTTGAGATTGTAGTGATCAGGGAAGCATCCTCTTGGGAGTCTGTTCCGCATTCAACAACTACAGAATATAGAGGGTTACTAGATGGGGATATTGTCAGGGCACATAATGAGGATATTTAGGATAGATAACCTTTGACTCTCAAAGACATTGGGATTGTAGTGATCAGGGAAGCATCCTCTTGGGATTAAATTGTTTAGGAATTAAACATTTTGTTTCGGTCAACCTTTAAATTGTGACCTTCATGTCCTGCAGTCTATACATCACAATAGACACTGCTTTCTCTGGGTTGTACTGCTGAGCAGGAGGAATATAAACAAAGATTTGCAAGAGGCAGGGGGGTGCATTTCAATTTAGTTTATCGTAAGCAGAAAAGAAAACATAAATGTTGTTTGCTAATGATTCATTCAGATTTTTCAGATCTTTTCTGTTAATTCACCCCAAATAATGTAAAGTTACTTATCACAAATATTAATTAACCCCAAGAAATTATAAATTCTAAATCAAAGTTTTTTGGTTTTTTTTTTATTTATTATATTTTTGGCACTCTTGAAATTATAAATCAAAATTTGTTTAGCTTGCCTCGCAACAACTCCAACACTTAAAATGAAAAATTATCAAAAATCAGGGAGTTATTCACATTTTGTAAGTGTGGATGATATTCCTGGTACTTACAAGGAATTTTTCAAAATTTAAAAAAAACAAAAGAAAAAAAAATCTGTTTTTGGCTTGTTTATTGGGGTGACCCCAAACGGAGACCTTTACACTTAGAAACAGCACACCTGAGTTGCCCACATTTGGGGGCGATCACAAATGGCAACCCAACTGGAGTGCAATGGAAGGGCCTCACTCTGGGAGAATTTGATGTGAATTTTAAATATAAACTCTCTTTATTTTAGTGCAAATTAACAGAAAAGATGCATTTTTTTTTAACTAAAAATTGAGAGAAAATATATAATTTTCTTGTTCTGTTTATTAAAGTAAAATTAATTCTTATAATTAGGTTCTAATATTTTTCACCTTTAGAAATAAGAGAAATAACAAAATTTAAGTTCTTCAAACCTTCATTTTTTACTGGGTTTCATTCACCAGTTTAAAAAAAAAAAAAAAGCTCTTAACTTTTTTTTAAATGTATGTGTATATATTCAGGCTCCATTTATTAAAAGCCCATGACTTGGTAAGAAGAATATCCTTTTTATTTTGAGAAATCAGTTGCTTTTACTTATAGACAACCCAAAATGTCCTATCCCCCACCAACCCCCACCCCACACACCCCCACCCCGAGATGACATTAACTCAAGCCACAACAGTGACTGAAAAATCAAATAAATTTTTTTTTTTTTTTGTCATATAATTTTTATGTAGAATTGACAACAGATTACAGCCACCATTAACAAGAAAGTTTGTTTTTCGAAGAAATTTCCGACAACATTTACAAAAATCTTTAAACTTCAGCATCATTTCTTCTAGTGAATTCTTTTTCAAGGTTTCAATGGCTAAAGCAGCTATTGATCTTAGTCAAAATTGTTTCCCCCCAATGCTGTACAGGGAGAGGGGTGCATCCCAACCCAACAGTAAAATTCAAACACATTATCATTCCTGTAAGAGCCACCTTAAATGACAGCACAAACTCTTCCTCAGCAAATGTCAAATGCAAACTTTGCACAAATATATGAAAATTTCATTGTAAGTATAAAACAGAAAATTAGGTTTGTCAAAATAAAAACACACAAGAGAAGATCAGTCTCTCTTATTATGGCCATTGTGGCACATTTTGGTGCAAATAAATAATAAGATCAAAGCATAGTATCTGTTCTTATCAGCTTAATCTGATTATCTCTTTCCCCACTTCTATCTTACCTCACTTCATTTTCTCATTGAAACCAAGTAGTGTCTTTTCCTCTCTTTCCGCCCAATTAAAATGGAATAGTCCATTATTTATGAGGTATTGGCAGAACATAACAATAATGTGAACTAATGAAGGGAGGGACAATTATAGCTGTAATAGAATTATTCATCAAAGTTTAAACAGGCTGAAAGAGATTGTCTTTTCAATTGTAACTTTTTAAAACAATTCACTTTTTATTTTTTTATAAGTTTTTTTTTTTTTTTTTAGCAAGAAGTAGGTGATGATTACAAAACTTGCAAAAATTTCAAAAGAAAATTTATTTCACAATATGGTATAATCCAAGAGTTGACCTTGAAAATAAGTTCAGAGATGACAAAATTCTATGGTAAAAAGTCATGTCCATTTATAATCAGTTCACGATGCCAAACAAAGTAGAAAGGCGGGCCTGGTCGGTAAATTTGTTGAGAAACAGGCCAAATCAATGTAGAATATAAGACATGCTTCAAAGATGTTATTACAAGTAGAAATGCAATAAAACAAAAAAAACAAAAAAAAAACAGAAATGTTATGGTTGAGAACGATGCCACAAAACATGCAAATATTCCTAAGGCAACATGCATTCCGCCACACAACATGCATTCCCTCCACACACACAAAAAATTACAATATTGTGTCAATAAATAAATAAGAGAAAGTGTTAAATTTGATAAACAAACTGTTGACTCTGAGATTGTAAAATATATATATGGTCGTTCCTTGTCATAGTAGAGGGCTTACTTTCTCCATGTTCCCAAAGCAAAACCATCTGGAGATCCAACTCTTGTAGGGCCACCCATGGCAGTAAAGTCGAATAGGAAGGACCAAAATGAACGTGACCAACTCCCAAAGACCCCAATGGTGGAATAGACAAAGATCTACACGATCCCAATGGCCAAACCAGTGGAAGAGGGTAGCACAAGTAGGGCTGGCGTAATCAAGGCGGACATTGACAGACCAAGCATTTGACAGCTCGATGCAACCAGGTTTACCAGATCTCTCCTACTAATTAACCCATAGCTGGGGGAAGAAGTGGATTCATACCTTTCCCAAGGGTATTTGTATGTAAGTAAATATAACGAACCTGACAGCTCTCCAATTTCCAATTCTGAGCCACTACCATTACACCAGCTGCACATCCAAGCTTACACTTACAGCACCTGGTATTCTCCAGCGGTCACTTATCCTGGTACTGACCAAGCTCGACATCGCTTAACTTTAGTGACTGTATGGGAACCAGTGTTTCAATGTGATATGGCTGTAAGCCCATGGGGTAATGTTTAATGAGGCTAGACTTGTTGGCCAGTACCACTGAGTAGTGAATTTGAGCGTCACTGGGAGTGATATACAAAAATTCTACATTAAATAATACAAGGGCGCAACATGATGGAAAATTCATACTGATTGTAAGTTTAAAAGAAATAGAATGAGTATGTGTGTGTGAGTGTGTATATATATATATATATATATATATATATATACACACAGAGATATGAATTTAATGTGTTGTTTTGTAAAAGATCCCTTTTGACTTCATATAATTGTTTATTTAAATTCCTTGAGGTTTCTCCAATGTATTCCTTGTGGCAATTACTACAGGTAATAAGAGTAATATCCTCCTTCAAGTTTTTGCTTATTTAATTTTGTATTAAGTTTTTTATTGTTTTAGACATAGTTGTGACATATTTTGTGTTGAGTTTAGATAAATTCTTTCCAATTGTAGTTGTGATAGAGTTTGTTGGTAGAACAATGTGTTATTGCAGCAACATAAACATAAATTTAGTTGGATCAGGTCTGAAAGGAATGGAACATGTCACACAAAAAATTTTTTCCACTTGTACAGACTTCTGGTGTGTTAGTCTAGAGAATGTTTTCCTTTTTACTTTCAGTTATAGTCCTTTTGGTCTTAAATACAATCCTTCATCACAACCTATAAAATGGCACTACAAAATCACAAGCAAAGAACTTTCATGATCATAAGTCCAGTTACCTAATAAGATTGTAGGGCCATCACATGTACTGTAGCCTTGGGCAAAATAGCCTGACAGAGTCCAATACTCTCCAGGTTGGTTTGAATTCAGATCTATCCTTCTCCTACACTGGCTGTCAGCCAAGGCTTGCCCTGCTATTTACCCATAGCTGTGTGAGGGAAAGAAGAGATAGATTTATATCTTTCCTGAGCATATTTGTGTGTAAGTGAATGTAGCAATCTTTTCTCTCTGATTTCTTGTTCTGAGCTGCTGTTACACCACCTTCACATCCACACAAAGAGCTTCACCAAATAACAAAGAATACATCAGTTGAAGACTTTCAACAGCAGCAACAACTAAAACGGATAAGTCAGAAGGTAAAATTCCACAATACCAAAAGGAAGGAAACTCCCATCAATATGAAAAAAAGCAACAACAAAAATAAGTAAATTCTATAAAATAAAACTTGGAACTTATTGATTGATTTGCTTTTTTATGGCTTATCAACCTTGGAACTTACTAAATAAAGAAAATTCTTGTGATTATTCAAATGGAAATCATTTCATCCTATAGACAGAGAAAAGAAATTTGAATATCCTGAAATCTTCATAAGAGAAAATTTAATCTTTTATGTTTGAGAGCAACTTCAGTTTTACATAGAAAAAAAAAAGTTATGACCTATTATTAATATTTGACTACTTTCATATTCTGTTAATTCCCACTAAGTAAACAGTAGAGGTAATAAAAAAGGAGGGGAGAAATGGGTGAGCGGAGAAGGAGGGGAGAAATGGGTGAGCGGAGAAGGAGGGGAGAAATGGGTGAGCGGAGAAGGAGGGGAGAAATGGGTGAGCGGAGAAGGAGGGGAGAAATGGGTGAGCGGAGAAGGAGGGGAGAAATGGGTTACTTTAGTAAGGATGAATGGTGAAAGACGGAAGAAAGGATGAAATGAAAAGATGGAAAGGGCAAACGACAGCAATTGATAAGAAAACAATGTAAGAATGTAAGAATATACACACATATGTACGTACATACATACATACATATACATACATAGATATACACACACACAACTATGTCTAAATCAATAAAAAACTTAATCAATACAAAACAATATGCTAAAACTTGGAGGAATTATTGTTGCTGATAGAATAAAAACTAACAATAAAATAATAGCAAAAATGTTTCATCTAAAATGCAACAATAAAATAATAAGACTTAAAAATATCACAAACTAATGAAATATATATTATATTTTAAGATAATTAAATTTAGTCTCCAACAATTGACTTTTGAATTATCTTCTGACTCAAATTTGTTCCTGCAAGTGCAGGGATGAATGATGTGTCTAAAGTGTATGGTTGATTAAATTACAGGTGATTAGCATTTTAAAACTTTAGCATGAAGTAGATTCAGATTTGAACAGAGATCGGACAGAGACAAATTTGGACAGAGATCGGACAGAGACAAATTTGGGCAGAGATCGGACAGAGACAAATTTGGGCAGAGATCGGACAGAGACAAATTTGGGCAGAGATCGGACAAATTGCTATAGCAATAGTAAAAATTAGTTTAAAATGAGCCTTAAATAGTTTATTTGCTTAAAGTGTATCAAATGATTACAATTTGAGTTTTTGTTTGTAACAATTCAAAGACTGTGATAATATGGGTGTAGGAAATAGTTTTCATGATATTCTCAAGTTATAGATTCTAAGCTTGCATAAACGATACAAACAGTTTGGTTCCTGCAGGGATGTGGCGGGGATGGTAAATGAACATAGATTCAGTTTTAGTTAAAAGACACAAAATTCAAAACAAGCTTTCTATGACATTTGAAAAATTAAGGACAGGTAACTAGAATTTTATTGGCTGGTTTGGAACACAAGATCTATCTAAAAAAAAGGAAAAAAAAAAAGAAAAGGAGATAAGGTGTTGGGTTGCTGGACTCTAGTTGGAAATGAATTTGAGTTTTAGCTGATAACAGAGAATGGAATCAGAATTTCAATCAGGATGGAACTATATATTGATCTATTGGAATTCAATCACAAACATAAGCAATTGGTGCTTGCCAGAGACCAAATGAATGGGTGGGTTAAAAAAAAAAAAAAAAAAAAAGCAACAAAAATGAAAACAAAGAGAAAAACAAAATAAAAAAAAATTTAAATAAAATATCAACCAGAAAAGATATTAGCAAAGGAAAAAAAAAAATCTAAAACTATTTTCAGAGTAAAGTTCATTTTTAATGTAGAAGATTTAAAAGTAAAAAAAAAAAAAAGGAAATTTTAAGATTTTGACAATGTCAAAGAGAAACAACCTTTGTAACATTTATAAATGATGAAATACAAAAAAATTTAAAACATTTAATAAGATAAAGTTTGGTCAACTTTAAATGTCAAAGAAATCTTAATAAAAAAATAAGATGGACTTTGTTCATTGTGAACAAGAAAAGAAAGTAAACTGATATTGGCAATACATTCAATAATACTAGCTTAAAAAAAAAAAAAAAAAGAAAGAAAGAAATTAACAAACTTCTAATATGCAATGCCAAAATTTTTATTTCTTCTGAAATAAAATTTGCTAATCTACAAAGCAAAGACAAAGAATTTTCAGAAAATAAGCAGTTTAAAAACAAAAGAGTTTTAAATATCTAAAAATGAAGAAACTTAAGTTTTGGGTTTGTTTTTTTCAATTCTATTTAGCTAAGGAAAGAGAGAGACTACATCTATGCAAAACACAAAGACAACTTACTAAATTGCAATTTATGTAGAATAGAAAATTATTTGCAAACATAAAAAAGATGGTTTTTATAAGCTATATTTTTCTTTTTACATACATTTTATTTACCTCCACATAAAGTGGGAAAATTTGAAAAAGAAAAAAGACAAACATTTTTTGAATAAATGTAATGATTACTCTGTTTTTAGTGTTATGAAACATCAACATGAGTTTTTAAGCTATCATGAAACATCAACACGAGTTTTTAAGCTATCATGAAACATCAACACGAGTTTTTAAGCTATCATGAAACATCAACACGAGTTTTTAAGCTATCATGAAACATCAACACGAGTTTTTAAGCTATCATGAAACATCAACACGAGTTTTTAAGCTATCATGAAACATCAACACAAGTTTTTACGTTATCATGAAACATCAACACGAGTTTTTACATTATCATGAAACATCAACACGAGTTTTTACATTATCATGAAACATCAACACAAGTTTTTACGTTATCTTTAAACATTAACATCTATTTTTTTAAGTTATCTTTAAACATTAACACGAGTTTTTAAGTTATCATGAAACATCAACACAAGTTTTTAAGTTATCTTGAAACATTAACATCAGTTTCACATTATGATTAATGATACATTGAATATTTGCTTGATGCAGCTTAAATTTCTTTTCCCATAATACTTCAGAACACAATATTTACATAGAGAAACTCAATTCTTTGTAAATATTCAACATATAAAACTAATCATCATCATATTTTTGTTACTTTTTTATCAGAACACTTTGGTCATGTGACATTCTATGACCATTAAGCATGGTACAGAAGATAAAGGAATAGTTATTGATGAGATTTGAATTTGTATCCCCAAAGAGGATAAACATTCAGATTTCTCCAGAAATTAATTCTTTATTTCAAATCCATGCTGCTTACTTAAAGTTAAAAAATAAAGAAAAAAATAGCAACAAAAATAAGATGAAGGAAAAACTAGTCAAGATTAACAACAGACTTAAACGGTAACTAACTTGTATTTGCTTGATCACGTTTTCTGTTAGTTTTAGAGTTGTTTTTCTATTTTTAGTATTTTAATATGGTGTAGATTATTGTAGAAAATCCAAAGTTCCTAAGTGAAATTGCTCTGTGGACCATTAAAATAGTATAATGGATCCCCAATTCACTATTTCTTTTGTATGGACCCTCAATATTGTTACATGGACCCTCAGGTTAATTTGGGCACCAGTTAAAAACTGACGTAGAAAGAAGGTACAAGTTTGCCAAACTGGGCTACTTTTAAAAGTCCAACACTACTAAAATTTTGTATTTTGCTACATGGATTTTTTGGAGCTACTTAAAAAAATAAAAAAAAATAAAATAAAAAAGCTTGCCTAACTTGTGCTACTAATAAGAATGTTTTATTAGTGCTGGGCTTTCAAATGCAGCATAATTTCTTACTTGCAGACCAATCTGCAACATTGTGTGGAGGACAAAATGAAAACAAGTTGGGAATTTCCAAAAGGGGAAGGTTAAGTGATAAATGTTTGGCACTGAATGTGCTAAGAA